GACGCCAAATTCTGAGCCTACCATCCGAATGTCGCAGCAGAAATCGAGACTCATCAGACCAGGCAACGTTTTTCCAATCTTCTATTGTCCAATTTCGATGAGCTTGTGCAAATTGTAGCCTCAGTTTCCTGTTCTTAGCTGAAAGGAGTGGCACCCGGTGTGGTCTTCTGCTGCTGTAGCCCATCTGCCTCAAAGTTCGACGTACTGTGCGTTCAGAGATGCTCTTCTGCCTACCTTGGTTGTAACGGGTGGTTATTTGAGTCACTGTTGCCTTTCTATCAGCTCGAACCAGTCTGGCCATTCTCCTCTGACCTCTGGCATCAACAAGGCATTTCCGCCCACAGAACTGCCGCTCACTGGATATTTTTTCTTTTTCGGACCATTCTCTGTAAACCCTAGAGATGGTTGTGCGTGAAAATCCCAGTAGATCAGCAGTTTCTGAAATACTCAGACCAGCCCTTCTGGCACCAATAACCATGCCACGTTCAAAGTTACTCAAATCACCTTTCTTCCCCATACTGATGCTCGGTTTGAACTGCAGGAGATTGTTTTGACCATGTCGACATGCCTAAATGCACTGAGTTGCCGCCATGTGATTGGCTGATTAGAAATTAAGTGTTAACGAGCAGTTGGACAGGTGTTCCTAATAGAGTCTCTCTTCCTCTTTAATGTGTGGACACTCTGGCTCCTTGTGGTCTACCTTGATTCTCCACCCCATCTGCTCAGGTGAAACTTCTTCAACAGCTGCTGGTCTTCTGCGTAAAGAAATGGAGAAACTTTGAAGAAGTATGAACATGCTGATTAACCGCTCAAGCAAAAAAGAAAAAGGCTCTTAATTACAGTGGGGCTGGCATTTTACATTTTAGAACGATTTAATTGCTATCTGGGTCTACGTTAGAGGCACTGCAAAGGATGTCCGATATTAACTTCAGAATTAACACTTAATTTCTGATTCCGATATCAACCAATGCCGATATGGCGGGGCAGTGGTGGTGTTTAAGGACGTTAAGAGCCGCCGACTTACATAGGTGATGGGATCAAGCAACTCCCGCCGACTCCCCCGGGGACAGAAGCTTTTTCACCCTCCAAATTGAAATACTATTGCGCGCCTGATATTTATTTATTTATATGCGTACAATCCACTGATTATTATTATTGCTTATCATCCATCCATCCATTTTCATCCACTAATGCGTTACCGGGTCGCGGGGGCAGTAGTTTCCACAACTGCCACCCAAATCACACTGCACCGTACCAGCCCCTCGTGAACCTTCATGCGAGTGGTGAGTCCAATGGAAGACACTGAGAACAACAATAACAAAAAAACCTCAAAATTGTGCTGATATAGTTAAACTATTTACATTGATGTGCCCCTCCGTTCATCCTCTTAATTCTCAGTCAAGACGTGATTTGTTTTGTTTTTTGTACAGTTATAACAAATCGGTTTGTGGTACTACATGTCTAACATTTTGTTTTTGGCTGTAGCGTTTCCTAATTTGACACTGCCTGCGTTTCAGAGTCAGCTGTGGCTGTTGGCGCTGCTGCAGACTGCACTTTTTCCCTGCATAAATTAAGCTCCTCTGCCAGCTGTACAGAGTACACCCTCACCATCTGATCCAGGATGTCCACGCCGTACGTGGTGTTATTATTATATGTGTTATATGTTATTAATATGTTATAGTACATCACTGAGTCCGGCGCCGTTTTCAGGCCAGTGATTTCTCAGGTGTGAAATTATGCTCGAGTAGCCTTCTGACACTCAAGATCGCTAAAGAAAAGTGAAGGAGATAGCTGTTGCTGTAGCAACCAAATTACATAATTAAGTCGTGAATCAGTCGTGTGGCGCTTTGGCCCAGAGGCAATGTCTCTGTCATTGGTGTGGAACCCCAGGGTTCACCTCCTGGGCAAGTATGAATCCCAGTTAGGGTTAGGTTAATACCTTCCAGTGGACTCACCACCTGCAGGATGGTTTGGGGGGTTGGTACGGTGCAATGTGATTTGGGTGGCGACTGCTGTCCCCGCGACCCGGTAACGGATAAGCGGATGAAAATGGTGAAAAATATACAATATTCACCTTGCAAAATCATGTGCGGTCATTATGACCATTTTGGGCTAGAATCTTCTTTGCCTTTTGTCTAATACATAAAAAACATTATGACTTAAAATACAGACACATTTAGGAAAAGTCAGGTACGGTCAGGGTAGCATTTTTTTTTTTATTTCACAAAATTATTGATTATATAACTTTTAAACAGTCAAAATGGCCGCCCTGTTCTAGAGTTAATAGTTTCAGGTATGGGAGGGGGGTAAGAAGGAGTGGTGAGAGCATGTGTGTGTATGAGGAAGAGGGAGTGCCAAGAGTGTGAAAGGAGGAAAAGGCATTTTTGGAGAAGCTGAAGAAGCAATAAAGAAGTTTAGAACGAGGTACTGCAATTGTGTTTCAATAAAAGTTTTTCACAGCACTGAGGCACCTGACTGGTCCGTCACTGGGGCATTAAACTATTTTCAGAGCACACATCATTTCGCGAAACCCAGGTAACCCATCAGAGGGAAAACCGCTAACGATTCTTACAGATATTACATACAACATAACATCGGTCGGCTGATATTGTCGGACGTCCTTAGTATAAATCAAATCAAATCTATTCTATACTAATATTCTATATATATTATATATATATAATATATAATATATAATATATTCAACATTTGGAGACTGTCTCTGTCCAAAGTGCACCTGTCATGACCACGGGTAAACAACTTTAAAATACAATCTATGATGGAGTCACAATAACAGAATATGCTCAGAATCAGTATTTATTGGTTAGTGCATTTACACATACAAGGTCTTGGTACAGTATATTGTTGAAATAAAATATAAAAAGAAATAAAAAGAAGTCATTATAAAGTCTAAGATATCAAAACATATGCACATAGTAAAAAAAATAAAAAAAATAACCAAAAACTGTATACAATTAAACTGTGGGTTTGACACAACAACACATTTTGAATGAGAAATCCAAAATGTTTTGTTGTTGTCAATATTACCATGTTTTAAATTGAGAAAACGGCGCCTCCTCAGTTTATTAATGTTGTTCTTAATTCTGCAGTACATAAAAAAAGAAAGGGTGACGTGGACAATGAGTTGGAATAACGTCAACAAAAGCGGCTACCAGCCATTTGCTTTGCTAGCAAGGTGCAGTTTAATGTCTAAGTTAGCGGTTGTGTTTGTGCGTTTCAATTAGCAGAGACTAACCTGGCAGCAGCTCTTTCGCTCTAACCACTTCAGTCTCTCTTCGTAGTGCACATTTTTCTTAAGAGACAGCGAGCATCTTCTACGCCTCTTATCCACTCAGTTATTAGCTCTTGGTGCCAGGATTACTGGAGCTTTTCTCGTTTCTCCACATGGAACAGAAAATACAATATTCAGTGACAGTGCTGGTTGGCCCATGTAACGTGACTTGATATAACTACGAGCAAAACTTGTCACTAAATCCTTTCTGCAGCCCACTACTAAGATGGCTGACTCCCGGATCAAACTAGCTTTAATCGCGCTGATTCTGTTTCCGTAGGTTTCAAATTAAGTGCACAAACGCACACAAAGAATAGAAGAAAGGAAAAACTACTGGATGCTGTAGTTTTTCCTTTCTTCTATTCTTGCCGCGGGGGACAGGAGCTCCGTCATCAAGTACGACGCGTCATCAAGTTCCTGGACTTCCTGTGAAGTCCAGGAAATAATAACAGAGTAGTGTGTTGGCTGAAATATGTCACGACATTGAGTCTATAATATGGCCAATACAAATATTTATTTTTTAAAAAAAGTGTTTATATTTTAAATATTTCAATAAATCAAAAGAATTGTATGAAATAAATATGAATCCTTTTATATTTTATTTTGTAATGAATTCGTTTTTGAGTAGTCATGTGACATTGCGACTTTGATGGTTTCCCTCTCATTTTAGCATTCAATCATTCGTTCATTAATAGGATAGCTTATCAGTGAATAGCTCCTACCAAAAATGGATATCCGGCGATTTTTAAAAATGTACTTCTTCAACTACAGCAGTTTAACAAGAGCAGCCTGAGGATTTATGTGACCCGGACCAGCTCTGGAATAGCAAGCCCAGCTAACTCCACATTACACCTGGCACCATTGGGTGTTTGTTGCCCCCCCCCCAACGCAAAAGTCAAACTCTGCCTATGTCTATGAGACACCTTAGTTGTTTTGGGTTCAACCCTGGGTTCATAACCCAGTGCTTTTATCATCCAGAGGGAGGTAAGACAGGGTTGTGTTCTGTCTGGCATGCTCTATTCTCTGTCAATCAAACCACTATTCCGCAAACGAAGAAAAGATTGTAATATGACTGGTGTATATTTTCCACACCGTGAGTTTCCTTTGAAACTGTCAGCCCAAGCCGACGATTTCATTGTCCTGGTTAACAGACATGAGCGACATTGATGTTTTAGTAGAAAATGTCAACTTGTTTGGTTTTATATCATCTGCCAAAGTAAACTGGGAAAGAAAGTGTGGCTGTCAGGGAGTGTCTGGGAGTGCGGCTCAACTTACCTGGTGGTACACAGTGGAAGGTAGGGGGTCTAAAATATCTAGGGCAGGGGTTTCAGTCTTGCGGCCCGCAGTACAATATTTTGTGGCCTGCACCTTAATATGAAAGTAATAATATTAGTGTGGCCCGCGGAGAAAGTTGACCTCCGAAGAGCCAATCAGCAAGCTCCCGCGCGCCGTCCCTTGTCGGGGCTAGGCTAAGCTACACCAGCTTCGTGCACTTCATGCTTGCAACAACAGCACGGCGTGTAATGAACAGCAGTCGCCTTTGTGCTTGCCATCTATCGTACTTTCTACCACAAATGTCATGATCAAGCGCAAAAAGAACAGCGACTGTTACCGGGCTGTTTATCGTGTACGCTGCTGTTACAGATAGAAGCGTGTGACGGAGCACCTGTAGGTGCTCTGACATTCCCCGACCTGTGTTTGTCTGTGTTGTTACTTTATTCGTTGAAGCCACCCAATTTGCCAAGAACTCCCAAAATCCTTCAGATTACAGGATTGTTATTAAACACTATTGATTGTAGTATACGTGTAATACTCCAAGTAAATACATTATTGCGATATTAGTAGGATAACGTAATAATTAAAGATAACTTCAATGAGACCGATCGTGTTATTAATTTGAGACTGGTTAACAACACCGAGTGCTCCTAAGCAGCACTCGACCCATTGCACCTACATCTTTTTGTGACATGTTAAAAACATTAAAAGAGGTAGGTTTATATTTTCTGTCATCCATTTATTTTTCATAGGAAAGAACAAATGCCATTAGAAATCTGTACAGTTTGCAAAACACAAAACAAAACAAACAAACAAATAAAAAAAAAAACAACCACTCAGATAAAATCACATTTCCTGAAAAGGTTTACCATTATTGTGTCCATCCCTAGCCTGCTGCACTGTTTCAGGGCCGCTCTCTGAGTTCTGCCCCAAACATTTCTTAGTGACACACTAAAATCTACCAGACATTTTCTAGATTACACATCCCAGCAGTCCAGTGCTCTGCAGAAAGCTGAAGTCAGGCAGGACCCAGTGATTGCCCATGATGAACGAATGTGTCTGACCAGTCCAGTTCAGAGTACGCCACTTCAACTGTATGCTGTAGCACTGGTCCTGAAACATATGTGTACTGTAGATTAGAATCTTTATATGTCATGTTTACCTTGTACATTGTGTGTACACATTTTGACACAGCGCACCACTGCACACACAACAAAATGTGACCCCTGCGAGTGTGGGGACTAGTGATGTGCGGATCGATCCTGAAATATCGATACTTCCGATTCTGGATCTTTATGCTCTGAAATCGATTCTGAAATTAAAATATCGATACTTTTGATACTTACGCATTCTGAGATGAGGTGTGTCCTAAACAGAAACATGGTGAAAAAAATCCAACTTATTGAGATGTTGTCTAAGTGACGCTCGGTTGGTGGGACTACTTCTTCTTCCGCCTGGGTGTGTGCGTCATGCGTAAGCACAGGGGCTCTACTCCGTGCTCTCACTCAGTCACTATTGATGGGAATTTCGGCTCTTTTTTAGAGAACCGGTTCTTTTGGCTCGGTTCACTGAAGAAATCTGACTCTTTCGGGTCCCAAATAGCTCTATTTTTTTATTATTTTTGTTTTACAAATAACATGTTTTCAGAGTTTGAAACATTGTTTTGACATATTTTATATGATTGTGTTCTCAAGGTTTTCTATTGTTGTGTTGACTGTATAGTAAATGAGGCAGCTACCTCAGTACACTCCAGAGTTTAAAATAAATAAATAAATAAAAACCTCAGCCTCGGATTCTTAAAGAAGCTATGATTTGAAATACACATTTTTTATTTAAAAGACAAATGATAAAATATTGATATAAAAAGGGGGGGGACAAAAAGAGCTCCAAACAAATTATGACCAAATATGATGATCATTTACTGGTAAGAACTATGCAAAATACTATCAACAACCAAAATGGTCTTTTGTACCTCATAAACTGAAGTATGTGTTATCTTAAATAACAGAATACAATAACACTGCACATCACCATTTATTTCCTCTTATTAAAAGTTTAAAAAGTCTGGTCTTATTTCAGACATTCATTCATCACTTGCACCAGTGCCAAGTTACCACTGAGGTACTTTGAGCAATTTTACTGCTTACTGTTGCCATATGTCCCTACACTGTGTTTGAACACTTGAATGTCACACAGGTCATGTAGCAATGTGACGTCTTTGTTTAATAGTGGGTCACTCACAAGCATTACGCCACCTACTGTGCTGGAGTGTGTAGTCTTTTTTTTTTTTTGGGCGATTCATGATGTATCATCCCTAACCCTTTGATGCATGACCCATGATATACTGAGTTAAAAAAATGTTAATACGTGTTTTTATGTGTTTTTAGACATAAAAATAAGAACTGATTTGGTTCTGTTTTTATACACCACATTTTCTTTTTGAATGTTGACACAATTATTCTGCAGCTGCAAAGGCTGACCACTGTATGGCAGTGTTGGGTGATTCTCAGGCGTCCACTGTAGAGGCTTATATGCAACACTGCCATCAAAACCTATTCTTATCATAGAAAATGACATTTTAATAGCTGTCCACTGTAGTGATGTGCAGATGTTCTCGTCCTGTTATAATGTCTTTGATTGTGCTTTGTGCTGAGAGGTTTTTTTCTAAATCCCACACTGCGCTCCCCCCCCACGGGGCCCAGTTTGGAGTTGACTTTTTTCCCTCCTCCTCCTTCCCTATCGTTTTTTCAGTTGTTTTTCATCTTGGCCACTGAGAGTGGACGCTGGCATGCATGTTGCCGCTGCTCTCCGGGCGTCCGTTTTGTTTTATGTACAGTGTCCTTGGGTGACTTGAAAGGCGCTTTTAAATAAAATGTATTATTATTATTATTGAGAACTTGATACTGTGTATTTTCTTATCTGTACAAACCACTGTATAGGTTGCTGCCACCTAGTGACTGGAGGCTGGTTTATCTTTCAAACATTACAGCAGCGGCATACCGTGTCATATTCCATTGGAAGCCTCTCAAGCCCATCTCATCCCCGCATGGGAAAAATAAATATATAAAATAAGGTGAAGGACTGGAATGGATGTAACTCAAAAACAAAACTATGTTTACTAAAACCTGAGAGTCTCTCTAGTTGCCACAGCACCTACCCTGTCTTCACTTCTTCTTTCCTCCTATGGTCAGGTTCTCACTTTTCTTTTTCTGCACCTGAGGGAGAAACTGTAATTTTAGCCCTAAGCTGCACAAAGTATTACAAATTCTATCTGTGTAGGGGTTCTTAAATAGAATAAAACTTTTTTTTTTTTGCCTGCAAAAAACTAATCCCACCTCATTCATGGCATCATCAATCTGTTTCAGTTCTTCATATCGGTCTCTTGATTCTCTGAGTGGCGGGGCCTCAAAGTAGTATTTGTTCATGAGTTATTTGCACTGATTAGTGTTGCTTTAAAACTAAAGGTGGAAATGAAAAGATTCAGTCGAACACAAAAACAGCTGAACACACTAGTTCTTCTTTTTCTTTCGGCTTTGTCCCTTTTTCAGGGGTTGCCACAGCAAATCATTGATTTCCATCTCTCCCTGTTCTCTGTATCTTCTACTCTGACTCCAACTACCTGCATGTCCTCCCTCACTGCATCCATATATCTCCTCTTTGGCCTTCCTCTCTTTCTCCTACCTGGTAGCTCCATCTCTAACATTCTTCTACCAATGTATCCACTGTCCCTCCTCTGCACATGTCCAAACCATCTCAATCTGGCTTCTCTAGCTTTTTCTCCAAACCTTCCTGTCTGTGTTGTCCCTCTAATGACCTCATTCCTGACCCTGTCCATTCTTGTCACTCCTAAAGAGAATCTTAGCATCTTTAACTCTGCCACCTCCAGCTCCTCCTCCTGTCTTCTGCCTATTGCTACTGTCTCTAAACCATACATCATGGCTGGTCTCACCACTGTCCTGTAAACCTTTCCCTTCACCTTAGCTGACACTCTTCTGCCACCGATCACTCCTGACACTTTTCTCCAGCTGTTCCATCCTGCCTGTACTCTATTCTTCACCTCTCTTCCACAGTCTCCGCTGCTCTGAACAGTTGATCCTAAGTACCTAAACTCCTGCACCTTCACCACCTCTGCTCCTTGTAGCCTCACTATTTCACTGTTCTGCCTTTCGTTTACACACATGTACTCTGTCTTGCTGCGACTGACCTTCATTCCTCTTCTTTCTAGTGCAAACCTCCACCTCTCTAGGTTCTCTTCTAGCTGCTGCCTACTCTCACTACAGATCACAATGTCATCTGCAAACATCATAGTCCATGGGGACTCCTGTCTGACCTCATCTGTCAATCTGTCCATCACCACAGCAAACAAGAAGGGGCTCAGGGCCGATCCTTGATGTAGTCCCACCTCCACTTTGAAGTCTTCTGTCCTCCCAACAGCGCACCTCACTACTGTTGTACTATTCTCATACATGTCCTGCACCAAACTAACATACTTCTCTGCCACTCCTGACTTCCTCATACAAAACCACAATTCCTCCCTTGGCACTTTGTCATATGCCTTTTCTAGATCTACAAATACACAATGCAGCTCCTTCTGACCTTCCCTGTACTTCTCCATCAACATCCTCAAGGCAAATATTGCATCTGTGGTACTCTTCCTAGGCATGAAACCATACTGTTGTTCACAAATCTCCACTTCCTGCCTCAACCTAGCTTCAACTACTCGTTCCCAAATCTTCATTGTATGGCTCATCAACTTTATCCCTCTGTAGTTGTTACAACTCTGTGCATCACCCTTCTTATGAATTGGCACCAGAACACTTTTTCTCCACTCATCAGGCATCTTGCCAGTCTCTAAAATTCTGTTAAACAAACCAGTCAGGAAATTTACTGCCACTTCTCCTAAACACTTCCATACTTCCACTGGTATGTCATCAGGACCAACTGACTTTCCACTCTTCATCCTCTTCAGGGCTTTTCTAACTTCATCCTTTCTAACCTGATCTACCTTCTTCCTACTAGTCTCTGGCTCCTCGTTTCTACTTTCCCTTTCATTTTCCTCATTTAACAACTCCTCAAAGTATTCCTTCCATCTTCTCAGCACACTTTCCTCACTTGTGATCACATTCCCCTCTCTGTCCTTAATCAACCTCACCTGCTGCACATCCTTCCCAGCTTGATTTCTCTGTCTCGCCAATCTATACAACTCCTTTTCTCCTTCCTTTGTTTCCAAACTCTCATACAACTCCTCATATGCCTTTTGTTTGGCCTTGGCCACTTCCCTCTTCACCTCCCTTGTCCTCTCTTTGTACTCCAGTCTGTTCTCTTCTGTTCTGTCACTGTCCCATCTCTTCTTCGCTAATCTCTTTCTCTGCACACTCTCCTGGATCTCATCATTCCACCACCAGGTCTCTTTGTCCTCCTTTCTCTGCCCAGAGGACATACCTAGCACCTTCCTACCTGTCATTGCTGTTATTTTTTAAAATACTTTTTACGCTCCGCTACGTGGGCACAAGATACAGGAGCCTTGCCCACGGTGGCAGCAGGCTGTCCGCTTTGGTGATGGGTCAAAAGCAGAGGTCACATTTCGATGTGTGCAGTGGTGTGCTGTGTCACAATGACAAATAATTCACTTTCATATATATATGTTTATACTTGTGTTTTTGATGTTCTGATGGGGGGGGAGTAATTTAATTCATTAATAGTATATTTCTTGGTGCCTGGAAGGAATTAATTGGATTTTCAGTTATTTTTAATGAGGAAAATGCAATCAAGATACAAGTGGATCAATATATGAGTGCTGTTGTGGAACGAATTAAACTTGTATCTGGAAGCTCCACTGTAGTTCCTTTAATCAGATTTTTCGACATAAAAAGACATAAATGACAGTAGTAGTTCCGGAAGGCATGAAAAAAAATTAATGACAGTAAATGTAAAAACACTTAATCTGATGTCTGTACGTTATTCTGTATTTCCACTCTTCATACCTGCATAAAGTACTCTTCCAGCAGACAGTCAACCCAGGGCTCAGCTACTTCCATGGGTCGCACCTCATTGGAGATGTCACAGCATTTGATGAGGACCATCTTCAGCTGCGTAAATAACAAAGTCCAAAATGAGTGGGCAAATGTGCAACATCTTGTGCACCGGGTAACATAGTTCAGATTTTGTCAAAAAACAATTAACAGCCTTAGAAGATATATAAATAAAAAGTGTAAATGAAAATTATTTTCATTCTGTGTCTACATTTTCACCGTTGACTTAATTCGCCAAACTGCACGAAGTACAATTTTATGAATGCAGATCATTGATTTTCTATCTGTGTCTACAATTTCACCAAATTTTCACCAAACTGTACAAAGTACAATTTTATGAATGCAGATCATTCATGAATTATTATTTATCTGTACAAACCAGCGGCGGCATTGCACTATTTTTAGAGCGCACACCAGGCATTGTTATCAGATTTTTGATATCGGAGGTAAAACTGATAAGGATTCTTGCAGATATTACATAATTATGTCAATATTGGCCAAAATTGTCAGGTCGATATTATCGGACATTACTAGTTTTAGTACAATATCGGCATATTGGACGCAGGCAAAAAAAAGGTTAATACCAGACATATATATATATATATATATATACACATGGTACATTTTAAACACACAATCAAATAAGTCATTGTTGTTCATTTAAAAAATGTAAAAAAATATCAGGATGGGAGGCTGCTGATAATTATACATATTATATGTATATACAGTATTTACATTTTTTTTTTTTTACATTTGTCTCAAGTTGTGAGACGAGGTGAACCTAGGTGTTCACCTCAGTAACAAACTAGACTGAGCAACACACACAGGGGTCCTGTACAGGAAGGGCCAAAAGTCATCTCCAACTGATGAGGAGACTGAGATCTTTTAGAGCAGCAGTCCCAAACCTTTTTTTTGCACCACAAACCAATTAAATGTCTGAAAATGTTTTCACAGAATGGCCTTTAAGGTGTGGTGGATAAATAAAACTAATGAATTTAGTGAGGATAAGTCGCAAACCCAGCCCTAGAATGAAAAAAAAAAAAACTAAAGTGCTTATAGTCCAGAAAATATGGTACTTTATCCTACTCTGTATTACGTTATTTTTCTGCAGATGTTTTTTTCTTCTAGATTTGGGATTTGCAATTTGTAAATTTGTTATGTACATTCTTTGCCTCCCTTCCCCCCATGCTGCTGCAACACAATTATTTCCCCAGTGCAGGATCAATAAAGTTCAACCTTAACCTCTTTCTGCTCCTTTACTTGAAAATATGTCCTACTTTCCTCCCTTGTCCCTTGCAACTGAAAAACGTCCACCTCACCATGCTGTTGCTGCATAAATGTATCTATCAAATACTGGCACTAATTAGCGCACGTGACATGTGCTTTCCAGTAAAAATGTTGTTACTACCCTAATTACCTTCATTCACTTTTCATAGTCTAAGCCTTAGACTATGGTAGCCTTAGACTATGGTACCCCAAACAATTATATAGGTTAGCTTTTTGCCTTATATGTATGTCCTAGGTGGCAATACGTTTTGGCACCGGAAAATATGCATCAATAAAGTTTCCATTCAAAAATGTTACGATTTGTGTATTTTGTTTAAATAAAATATGTTTCCTTACACAGGTCACATGCTCTTCATCTGTGTAGTCAAAGTTGTCCACTTTCTGCTTGAAGGAGTCTAAGATTTCACCATGCCGTGCCATGTCTGTGGCCAAGATCAGCGTGATGGTTCCCTGAAAAAAAAAAATTATACACATTTCTAACCAGAATTATATCCATAATCTTAACAAAACGTTTAATTCTCACCTCCAACAAAAAAAATGTTGTATTTATCCTCAGTTCTGACAGTGAGTGTCACAAATTACACTTTTCCTTAAAACAACTAAGTGCTTCTCAAGTGAGTACATAAACAGCCACAAAAAGTGCCTACAATTGGTTTAACCCTTTCATGCATGACGGTCACTACAGTGGACAGCTATTAGAATGTCATTTTCTATGATAAGAATAGGTTTTGATGGCAGTGTTGCATATAAGCCTCTACAGTGGACGCCTGAGAATCACCCAACACTGCCATACAGTGGTCAGCCTTTGCAACTGCAGAATAATTGTGTCAACATTCAAAAAGAAAATTTGGTGTATAAAAACAGAACCAAATCAGTTCTTATTTTTATGTCTAAAAAAACTTTTTTTTTTAAACTCAGTATATCATGGGTTTTTTTTTTTAAAAAACTCAGTATATCATGGGTCATGCATCAAAGGGTTAAGAGACATCAGACCTGCTTGTCACATTTATACACTACTAAACCTTCTTCTCATATTTCTCACACACACACAAACCTACTTGTCGTATTTGTTTAAAGGCCTCTGGGTCAAAGTTAGAAAAGATGTTACAGTCAGGCTGAGAGAAGATCTGGAAGGCCACAGCACAGTGGTGGTTCTCCAAAGGTGAAATGTCATTATAGCGTACTGCCAGCTCTGTCCTGGCATTAATTTGATAACTAGAAGAGAGAGAAAGATTTGCGTGGATAAGGAACATCAATGAATACATGGGAAAGAGAATAACAAGGCACTATTAACAGGAAAAAGATGTGGTTAAGAAAGATCACTTATTACAATAGGGTTCCTGGGAAAGAAACCAAATGGATCTTCAAGAAGAAAAAAATCTAAAATTGTTGAGTAAAAACCACATAGACTTGAGGCAAAACCATGAAACCGAAATGCTAGAAATCATACATTCATCTTCCTACATTCATCTGAGTTCAGGTCCACGGCCTTAGGCAAAGGTAGCACCTGGTCCATTCTGACAGACCAATACAGATTCAGGATTTCTGCCGAACCCCTTGCTCCTGAACAAGACCCAATGATACCTGAACTTCTTCACTTAGGAAGGCTCTCATCTCTAACCAAAAGCTGCTCCAAAAAAAACACCACAATGGAAACAAATTGGTAGAATCAAGATCTTTTTTTCCTTTACTCACTACCCTGGACAAGAATCTTTTTTCTTCCATTTGGCCTTCACCAATATTCTCACTCCGTCTGACTGTCTGAAGGAAAAGGAAAAAAAAAGTGCTTCTCCGCCACTTTGCACAGGTACCTCAACTCTGCTTTGAGCACCAGGGAGGACAGGATGCCCAATAGCATCCTGGATTACAGCTGGAAAGTAAAAGCAAAGTGGGACTTGACAACTTTAATAAGGTCAGTAAGGGTTTGTTTTTATTGTCCACATATTTCTTCTCTAATATCTACTATCTGGGACCACATTTGTGGCATGGATGGAGGTGAATCACTGATAGAAGCAGTGGATGTTTGTCAAGTGAAGGCTATTCCTGGAAGTTGGAGGAAGCCATGTTGGCACCTTACATTTAACAATGATTTTACCCATCCCTAACACCAGCCCGAGATTGGTGAGAATAATAAATATAAATATAGGGTACATTCAATAACCTGCTCATATTGTGCTTGAGTAAAAAAAAAAACCATAATGCTGAAACACATGTAGTACACTGATGATCATTAAAATGTTACTGCTCTAGTTGCTCTAAAATGTAGTTGGGCTTTACTTATGCAAGTGTTTTGGAATCATTTCCAAAGATCACATCTGAACAAATCTGAACTGGGAACTCAACGAGTGTTACTACTGTTACCAATGTTCACTTTGGTGATGGGTTAAAAGCAGAGGACACATTTTGTTGTGTGTAGTGGTGTGCTGTGTCACAATGACAAGTGATTCACTTTCACTTTCCACTTTATGCGACTACTGTCTATAAGTCGCACAAGACAAAAAATGCATAATGAAGAAAAAAACATATACCGGTACAAGTCCAGTTGCATTTTTTTTCAAGTCAATTTTCAGTGGTAGAGTAGTAGCAGATACTGGTACACAAACCTAGAGTGCCCTTTCTCAGCTGTCAGTGTGAAAATAACAAACATGAAAATTATATAATTAAATTATATATTTTAATATATAGAAGCCGGACATGAATATAAGTCGCAAAACCCAGCCAAAGGAAATCCAGCCAACTTATAGTCCGGAAAATACATATCCAGCCAACTTATAGTCCGGAAAATACATAAAAGTTTCATAGTCCTAGTAGTCTGCGATACACATGTAGTCAAAAATAATTTGTTTATAGAACCCAGATTCAAAACCTATAAAATCAGAACAATGTGATAGACAGGAAATGAGTAACAAATAGACATTTATAACATGTTCATTTAAGGTTGTGAAAGACAAAACGAAAGTGATAAATGTAGTTTTTATGTCATTTTTGACCCAGAACTCCAACTCGGTTGACGTGAAATGAACACAACATCAAGGTTAAAAAATGAGTCTTACGTGTTGTTGAATCCAGGATGATCAAGGTCATGACACACAGCAGCCGTCATGAGAATCAAAATATCCACCTGAGTGAACTTCTCCTGAAAACATGGTTGCACACAGAGTTTAGCAATGGTTATTATAAATATATGTACAATATATATGTATATACATATATACAGGTATGTACAAACATAAGATGTGATTAGTCATAAAAATATACTGATGTAATGTATTCAATGCAAAAATAAGTAAGGCTATGAAAACCTGGGCTGTGAAACACGTGAAAAAGTGAACGCCCTGAACCATAGCCACCAAAATCAATTTTGATTTACAAAAACTAAAAGGCTGAAATGTAAGAATTTTTTGTTCTGGGAAACTGTAAAACCTGTATCTGCAAAAAAACATTACTTAGGAGAACCAATTGGCTCTTAAATCTTACTTTGTCACCAAAACAAAAAATCAAGACAGTCTACATTACCTTGCAAAGCCCTGTCACTTACCGGGGCTAACTGACAGAGTCAGTTATAGAGAAGTTATATTTAAACACTATCCTTAGTACTTATAATAAAGCATGTATTTAACAAAGGATTACCTGCAGACTACAGAGGCAGATCATGCTGTACATCATCTGGGTCACACAGAAACAGTGTCGGAAGTTGTGGAAGGGATTATTTCTGTAGTTGTCATGAATACATAACTTGAGAAAAACAGAAAAAAAAAATGATTCTAGGAAAAACGTAAATATAGTTATGGCAATGTTTGAAGATTTAACAGTATCTGTTACATGTCTCACCAGCCATCTCTTGAGAGTAATGGGGTTGATATTGAAATCTTTGACCAAGCCAAGATCATGGTACATATGCTCCAGACAGCTCAGCATCTAAAAAGGTTAGGTTGATAAAAGTTGACTGATGTTACAACTGCACAAAACGTCCACCTTTTCCACATCTGTGCCCTTCGAATAAATCTGAATGTATCCCACTATCGGAATTGCACAAATTTCTCCTCATTCGCTTTTCTCTTGACCAAATTCTGCTTGTTTGTTTTTTTGTTGTTGTTGTTGGCAGCAAATAATTAGCTGTGCATTAGGTTAGTTACTGCAGGTTGTAGGTACAAGAAGAGCATGCCGGTGGGCTCAGTGATATGAAACAAGGCTGACTTCATGTAGGAATCGGGTACTGAATTAATTTGACGCTCTCACCTCATTGGGCTCCCACTGCCAAGAATCAAACGTAGGAAATCTAAGAGCTTCTACTGTCTCCTTAGACAGATGGTACTACATGCATTCACAAACACACACACACCGACCAACATAGCATATCAACCAAAAGACAGTGACAGGAAACACAGGTACATACGAGGAAAGGGAGAAAGGAGAACACAAGGGGTATCATGGGTGAGATAGGTTTGTTGTTAGTCTTACCTCATTGGCCTCCCACAGCCAGATGTCAAAGGCGGGTTTTTTAAGGGCATCTATGGTCTGTTGTGACAGCATGTACTGCAGGCAACAGAGCTTTCAGTTAACCCTATCCGCCTCTGCCTGGCTCGGGGGCACACTTCTACACAGCACTACATAGACTTCTGACATTACACTTTAGTCTGGCATCTATAAAAATCGAATAAAGTCAAAACAACTTCTCTAATAGAAAAATGAATACATTGTTTTGTCAGTTTAAATCAATAGATTTTTTCGTATTTTAATCACCAAACCATAAATGATCAGCATTACTACAAATGAACCCAGCGGGTCAGCTTCCTGTTTTTTTCTATTTTACTTGCCAATGTGTCCAAGCACAACTGAAAACAAAAGCTGAGTGATGTGCGCCCTAAACAAGTACAGATCATTTTATGATGCAATATAGGTATCAAATTACAGTTTTTCCAACCGCAATGTTGTACAAAAGGACAATTTTTTTAGGAAAACAAATCATGTATTTTCTGGACTTTAAGTCGATCTGGAGTATAAGTCGCACCAGCCAGTTAAGAGTGCCCTCTAGAGGCCGTCAGTGTGAAAAAAAAAATCAGATTCATAGTCCAGAAAACACAGTAAACATTTTTGAGCTAAATTGCTAGAATTTAATATTAATATTAATTAATTAATTAATAGCTGTTAGAAATTTGCACAGTAGCTGTTAGAAGACTTTAAATGCTTGTGTCTTAAAAAAAGAAAAGAAACAGGAAGCTCACATACAAAACAGACAACTTTTATGTATTTGTCTGTTGTGTGTAAAATAATACAAGTCAAAAAGTTCATTATTTAAAGAAAAGAACATTTTAAAAGGGGCTTGACCTAATATCTAAAACATGCTAAGACATTGTTTGCTGTTTTTCAGACAACTTGAGCAGCTTTGACAAGTTTTATCATTACGTTATTACATTTTGTTTTCTTTGATCAGTTTTATTTACTTCATAAAAGGAAAATTCGGTTGCATTAAAATCAATACTTTGAATTGATTGAAGTAGAAATATATATACCAATAAGATTTAGCTAAATATATTTTTTTGTCTTTTCCTAAAACTGAAAGGTCATTTGGGAAACATATATACCAATAAGATTTAGCTAAATTTTTTTTTTCTTTTCCTAAAACTGAAAGGTCATTTGAAAAAAAAAAACCTGATCTCAGTTCAAAGACAAGACAAAGATTTGGCCTGGGGGAATTTTTTTTTTTTGGGGTCCACAAGTATTATCTTTTTCCCTTCAGGGGGCACAACGGTAGATCATGTGGATGTGCCTCCAACTCCCCTTATCCCCTGCTTCCTCTACTTTTACAACAATCATCTTCTTGTCCTCTCCTGTGACATCAACTAGTCCTCCATGGGGTATTCCTCTTTTCTTCTCACCTTGCAGCACCATCTCTAACATCCTTTGTCAGATATATCCACTATCTCTCCTCAGTACATGTCCAAACTGTCTTAGCCTCTCCTCTAATCCCGTCTATTCTGGTTGACCTTGATGCATGTTTACTACTTCTACCCCACTCGCCTCACTCAAGGTTACACGCATGCATATTCGGTCTTGAGACTGCTGACCTTCACTCCTCTCGCACACACAGAGACTTTAGACTCAACGCTGACACAGCAAACCCCCACCTCTCCGGCTTTTTTTTTTTCCCAGCACCTTGTAAAATTCTACTAAATGTTTTTCTCTTGGTACAATCACTAACCTTCCCCACCTGTGCCTTGTTAACTCCTTACCTCTCTGTATGCATTCCCTGTTCTTCCTCTTTTTTAGTTACCTGTTCATCTTTATAGCTTTTCACGTAAAACATCATTTTACTTTCCCAGTGTAGTCTCTACAGATTTTGACCTTAAGACAAGAGTGTTTTGGACTTTATATAAGCCTAACAATTCGGTGCCTGCTGCTGATCTGAAATCTGTTCCAGTTCAATATTCTCTTTAAAAATTAAATTGAACTTTATTGATCCCAATTTGCTTCCGAGGCAGGCACGCTAACAGTGGTTAACATGCCTGCTCACACTCTTTGGCTTGAGAGCTACTTTTCAAATGACCAGGCTACCTACATTGAAACTAAATATATATTAAATATATATATATATTTATATATGTTTACTCACATAAACCGAACATATTTTATATAAACACTGTATGTTAAGTTAGTGATTGAATATATGTAGCTGTATAGCACAATATGATTCAGTTCTTAATATATGGTCACTATACTACACAATATAGAATTATATTTGTATTTGGCTATTTCATATATTTGTTCATGATCTACCAGGACTTCACTTGCGATCTACTGGTAGCATAATGCAACATCCCTACCTTGGGGTAGGAAGGAACATCTCTGCGAGGAGTGAGCTTCTTGGTGTCCTCCAAGAAAGTACTGTAAAAACAAAAACAAACAGCTTCACACCCAGATTTCAATGCCTTTGTTCAACCTAAATGTTACAAATTTTACATTTTACATTAATCTATTATGTTGTTGTTTGTGTAGGTGTAAGAAAAAGGGGATTTACATAAAAATTTAATGTAAGTGGTATTTGTAAAAAAAAAGAAAAAAGGTTACTCTAGGATTACATTTAAGCATCTACTGCCCATGGTCAAACGAGAACAACAGTTTCCATTCAGATTAATAACTATGGTCAATTTGGCAAGTTCAATTAATCTAACGTTGCCTGCGAGAGTAAAAAAAAAGCACTCTGAAAACATTTTCATCCATAAGTCCAGATTGCAAATCTTTCCATTGTTACTGGGTGCGTCTTATCTGGAACAGGTGTAACCATACACGATTATTCTGCTAATAAATGTGAAGCCAGACAAATAATTGTTACCTGTTATTTCTTGAAGCCATCTCTACACGGAGCTTCTTGATATCATTCCGACATTTTTCAATCTCCACCACCTTCATGCCCTCCACTGTAGACAAAAAAAAGCTTTAGTATCTCAAAACCTTATTTTTTACATTTCTCATCTTTGGCCCATTCTTTATTAATTTCACCTATTTTATTTTATTACTGTAAAATTGTTTACCTTTATTTTTTAACTGATTTTTCAACTATATATTATCATTATATTGTAAAGTATCATTAGGGTTTTGTGAGAGGCACTTTGAAATAAATTAACTGATTTTTTTAACTATATATTATTACTATATTGTAAAGTATCATTAGGTTTTGTGAGAGGCACTTTGAAATAAAACACAAGCCAATCAAAAAGATACTGTCTGCTTTACAGCCACTTAAACCTAATCATCGAGTCATATTTGGATTTGCAACACTAATTTGTATTCTAAAAAGTTTTTAGAATACAAGCCATTGCTTCATTTATTTGTGTCCTAATTTATGTGTCTATTCTCTCTGAGTCCCTTCGGTTCTCTTTCACCCACTGTTGTCACTCTCTAAAACAGAAAAGGTTGCCTTTATAACACTTCAGCCCACATCTGAATCTGTGACCATGGTGACAAAAGGGATGAGAGCATGGTAATTTGTATGGGTCATATGTTGTTGCTGTAGAAACCAGGTATCTAGGAAATAAGCATGCTTTTATGAAGGCCGTGTCTGGCAGCTCCTAAACTACAACTACAACACAGGCTGCCAAAAAAAAGAGTAGTGAAAATATTAAATAGCAATGTATTGTAATATTAATTAATTTATGTCATAATATATAGCAGTCCAGCCACTGCGGGTACATTGTTTCCTGTCTCAAGCTCAGACAAACATTTCGATCAATAAAATGACATTCATACAGAAGCAGTATTGTGAGTTTGAAGCTTAGAAATTAGGGTCTGTTATAAAATGCTCCTAGTGCATATGTAATTCAAGGTGAAATTCAGTTAGAACAGAGAGAAAAAAAATCGCAAGCTAAATAAAGACGTACAAGCTGTCCCTAAACTACTTTTATAGAGAGAAATGCTACTGGTGATGTGTCGTTCGCGAGTGATTCATTCAAAATGAAGAATCTTTCATATGACTCGAAGATTCGTATTGAACTCACAAATCACTCACTGCGAACTAATCACACTCTGCGAACTTATCTTTCACTGTGAACAAATCACTCTCTGTGAACTAATCTTTTGCTGTGAACCAATCTTTCACTATGAACGAATCACTCTCTGTGAACTAATCTTTCGCTGTGAACTGAATTCTTTTTGAATGAAGTAAATTCGTAAACTGAAGTACATTGTTTCATTACGTCCCACTGAGGCCCAGTACCAAATGACCTGACCACCCCTAACCTGGGGGGTTAGGGACGACTTTTCAAACTTGGGTACCTGAAACTTTGTTGTATTGTAAGCATACATTAGATATGCTTGTACAATGTGTTAGGATCCTGGGGTTTTGAATCAGCAATGTAGTCCTGTTTATATTCAAAGTGTAAGGTGTTCAGAGAGGGTGAGTATAGTGCTTTGAATATGCTTCATTACTAGACACACAATCACAATTGGGTTAAGCAGGAAGGAGCAGAAGCCTAGGACAAGGGACAAGTTAAAAATGTCTGTAAACTAGGGATGTCCGGGATAATATCAGACCAGTGACAGACCAGTCAGATGCCTCAGTGATCTGAAGAACTTTTTGAACGTATTGAAAGACAATTGCACTAACTTGTTCTAAACTCCTTTATGGCTCTCAACCCAGCTCCTATCACCCTCTGCACCTACTCTCATCCTCATACACATGCTCTCTCACCACACCTCCTCACCCCCATGCCAATGTGTTAACTTCTTCATAACACATGAACACAGAACATTATCAACGCTAAACAAGCCTCTAGTCACTAGATGGCAGCATTGTAACTGCTTTTTTTTATTCTATATTTATAATCAGGGGATTGTGTGCAGAATGCTGGTGCCAGTAACTCTTACAGTGGTTTGTACAGATAACAAATAAATATTACCAGGCGCTCAATAGTATGGCAGGCAGGCAACACTTCCACCAATGCATCGCTATATCGGTATTGGGTGATATCGGAATTGGAAATTAAGTGTTCGGACAATATCGGCATATCGGCAAAAAGTTAATATTGGACATCCCTACCGTAAACTAAACTAGTTCAGGTGAACTGACCATCAGGGCACATCCAGGGACCTAAATGATCCTGATTCTTTCTGATGGCTCTCTTCCCTCAGAGTTGAATGGACCACAGCAGATAACACAGACAAAGGTGTGGCTCTGCCAGCACTGAAAACCTGTCATTGCTGCTGTTTTGAACACACGACTGTAGTATTAAAACAGTCCGAAAACCCTCTCTAAACAAAAAGATCTGCACCTTACCATTAAGAAGTATATAGAGGAGACTGTTGGGGTGTTTGTTCTGGTACTTGGTGTAATAGTGAAGGTATTTTCACTACCTACCAATGGCTTATGGTACCAGGAGGAAAGGTTTGTATGTGAATGTATGCGTAATGGCTTTTGAAGTACATACAGTATGTGTATACACTAGTAAAAACTTGAAGGCACAAATGATAACAAATAACCTCTAAAATCTTTGAGTTTTAGTGATCCAAGAGAGCTCTAAGTTCTCTTGTTTTAATACATTACAAAGTCCATTAGGTTGTCATTTGTCATCCATCATGTTGTTTGCTGACAGGCTTGTCAGTTAACTGAGAGAGTGTGTGAATGTACGAGGGCGCTTTAAAACTACATTTGTAGGGGCAGCGTGAGCTGTGGCTAGGACAGCGGCTCTGTCTCTCTGTTATGTCTTTTATTTTTTGTTAATAAAGTTACACTTTGGACTTGTCTCTCTCTTCAAAAGCACCATGTGTTTTTACATTGTGCAACAGCATGGTTAACCGTGGGGCAGGCACTTCAAAGTCTTTCAAAACAACAAACTTAACCTGACACTTAAACACCATCACCCAGCCAAACATGAATCATTAATGCACGCACATTTCCTACGGTGTGAACTCTTGGGGTGTTTTTGTTTTTGTTTGCTCTGGACTCTAATGGACAAGGCTTCAATGTCCTTGGAGTGACTGGAAGTTATTAAATATAGTTGCCAAATGTGGAGTGAATGTGTACAATCTTTCAGTATAACGTGACTGTGCACTAAAACAAAAACAAATGTATTTTTCTTAAATATCTCAATATCTTATATACATATATTTGTCATGATAACTGCTGCTTCCTGTTTAATTTTTATTTTTATTTGTGGCTGAATTACAATTATGCTGTTATATATATATATAAATATATATATATATGTTTTCATATGGTATTATAAGTGGTTTAATGGTAAAATACAAGTGTCAAATTATGAAACAATCTTGTTTTGTTTTAGACCCCATGTTGGGTACGGCTGTTCAATTACAGAAAAATCCCATTGTCATGAGTAGTTTGGCCAGTTAAGAGTTGCTGATTATTTCAAAAGTTAGCATTCATATATTGCAAAAAATAAAATAAAAACAGCAATGTATTGCAGATCCAGAATCAGTTGAAAACAAATTAAAAACTAAATTAAAAAAAATAGTCGTTATATAGATTAAGTGTTTCAAATAGTATTTACAACATCTCTGGGCCTGTTCGTGGGAGCCTATACCATACCATCCATCCATCCATTTTCATCCGCTTACCCGTTCCCGGGTCGCGGGGGCAGCAGTCGCCACCCAAATCACATTGCACCGTACCAACCCCCCCTAAACCTTCCTGCAGGTGGTGAGTCCACTGGAAGGTACCAACCGCCCTAACCAGGATTCGAACTTGGTGAACCCTGGGGTCCTATACCATACAAAAAATGTTTTCTCTACTACAACTACACTACACTGCAGGATGGCAGCAGCTGGAGGTAGGTATAGCCATGGGATGCTCGATCTCTCCCATCTCTTTTTGTTGCAGCTTTCGAGATCGTCCTAATAGGAGCAAGGACGATGGTCGGAGGAGTAAAGCTGCAATCAGGTCAGAGGCTACCCCCAGTGAGAGGCTATATGGGCGACATCGCCACCATCCTCCAGACAGCAGCATGTACAACGAGACTGCTGAAGAGGATTGACGAGCTTGTGGGGTGGGCAAGGATGATGATGATCAAACCTGCCAAATCGTGCAGCCTCTCCCTGAGGAAAGGAGTTAAAAGCGATAAGACCACATTTGTTGTAGGTGGTGAAGAGATCCCACTGCTGGCAAGCCAACCCATCTGCAGCCTTGGGCGTGCCTGCAGAACTCTCGGACAAGAAAATGGGGGAAACAGTGAGGAAGCAGCTGGCAGATGGCCTGGCCAGGATCAACCAGAGCCAGCTCCCCGGCTGTACAAGGTATGGAGTTACCAGTTCATACTGTACCCAAGGGTGATGTGGCCTCTGAAGATGAGCGAAGTCTCCTTGTCCGTGGTGGACAAGATGGGTAGGCTGGCAAACTCGTTCATCAGGAAGTGGCTAGGACTGCCGAGATCTCTTTGGCAGAAATGCACTGCAGCTACCACTGCGATCCATAGGTCTGGGCTACAAACAAGAGAAGGCCCGGATGGTGCTGGAGCTGAGGGATTCCACGGATCAACTGGTGAGAGCAGCTGCCCCCCAAGTACGAACAGGGAGAAAGTGGAAAGCCCAGGAAGAGGTGGACAGGACGATCAGCAGACTAAAACACTGTGAGGTAGTCGGCAGTGTCCAGGAGGGCC